TGATGTCGTCTCAAAACAAGCCTTTGATGTCTCCATCATGATTCTCATCTGCCTTAACATGGTTACCATGATGGTGGAAACGGATGATCAAAGTCAAGAAAAAGTGAACATCCTCCACAAAATCAACATGCTTTTTGTTGCCATTTTCACCGGGGAGTGCATCATCAAAATGCTGGCTCTGCGGCACTACTACTTCACCAACGGCTGGAACATCTTTGACTTTGTTGTCGTGATTCTGTCTATCGTAGGTAGGTGATTCTGGGTGGCAGGGAAGCATTTTCACCCAAACTCCAAAGTTAAAAAGACCAACATAAACTTAATTAGACAGAGTTGAAGGCTTCGTGTAATAAAGTGCATTCAGAGAACTGGATCCGAAGCAATTTTTAATATTTAAATAATGCAATGTAACACTAAGATTTGTGTGATCGTGGAAATGATGGGATGTATTAGACAACCAAATCTGTTGGGTGCCAAAACTCTGATGGTAGTGATAATGATAACAAATATCATCCTATCACACCCTAGTTCTGATTCCAATGTACATGACCATAAAAGATGGTTTGGCTCCATACACTTAATCTGTGTTCTGGATAACAGCCTAAGACAGAGAAGTGAAAATGCCACATGAAAAGCGCACATGTGAATCGCTATTTTTTTGTTATTTACTTTTTAGTACACCAGCATGAAAAAGTCCTTCAGGTCAGCTGCAGGCAGGTGCAGTGAGTCTGGCTGTTGGCCCTGTGTAGGTGAATGTAGGGTGTCATGTTAGGAAAAGATAACCATTGACTGATGCTCCTGTTGCTCTAAATCCTCTGGTGGACCAAGAAGCCTGCAAAGTCTCAATGCAAGAGATCCCCGGTGCCCAGAGATCAGCCTGCATTTTGAGGGCATTGAATCAGCGAAGCCCACTCAGATTTCAGAGATTTGGGTCACCAGGGAACATCACGGGCATACAATTGTCATCAGAGCCTTGATGCTGTGGACCTGTCCATAGCAGCCAGTTAACCAGAGCTGTCAGATTGGCCAAAGCACTGTCCCACAATCAAACAGGTGTTTTCAGATATAGAGGGGACTTGGGCTATCCAACAGAGCCCCTGCCAGCATGGGAGTGGGGAGACATGGGCTGGGCATGGCTCCCTATGTCTGGAGACTGTAGGCATTGGACAATCTGGAAAAAGCTGCTCTATTTCTGCAGGGAAGAGAGTTTAGCCACAGGGATGCAAGCTTACCAGTCATTTAGAAAAGTGGAAAAAATAATAAGCAAGCAACCAAGCTGATTTCCAGTAGGAACTTGCACCATTTTGTTGATAGTTCATAAAAATAGACTCAGCACACAATGCTGACTTGCTAACACTTCACAAAGAGAAGTATTTTCAAATCAGAAAAATTCTGACCAGCTGCACTCCAGATAAATGGCTCAGGTGGGTCATGATCAAAAGCTGCATATATCTGTGTCCTGTCTGAACTGATCCTGGTTTCTCAGTTCCAATAAATGAGTTTTCCCTTAATAAACTGCACCTACCATCAACACCTTTGCTCATAGTCTCAACAAAATTTGCATGGATTAAATGGGCATGAAAATGCTAATGACAATGCCATTCTCTTTATCTTGGGTCTTTCAGTTTGTGGAACTTTTCATTGATTTTGTCCATAATCCTCATTGATTTCTCTAAAGGGAATCAGGGATTATTTCCAAGGTACTAACTCGCTGTTTGTCTTTTCTTTTTAAGGCACCGTACTTTCTGACATCATTCAGAAATATTTTTTCTCTCCTACACTCTTCAGAGTCATTCGCTTGGCTCGGATTGGCCGGATCCTGAGACTCATCCGGGGAGCCAAAGGAATTCGAACTCTCCTTTTTGCCTTAATGATGTCCTTACCTGCTCTGTTCAACATTGGCCTCTTGCTGTTTCTGGTCATGTTCATTTATGCCATTTTTGGCATGGCTAATTTTGCCTATGTTAAGAAGGAATATGGGATTGATGACATGTTCAACTTCCAAACCTTTGCTAACAGCATGCTCTGTCTCTTCCAAATCACAACGTCAGCTGGTTGGGATGGTCTTCTCAATCCTATTTTGAACACCGGACCACCGTATTGTGACCCAAACCTTCCAAATGCAAATGGTTCAAAGGGAGACTGCGGAAGTCCTGCCGTAGGGATTTTATTCTTTGTTACTTATATCATTATATCATTTCTCATTGTTGTAAACATGTATATAGCCATTATTTTAGAGAACTTCAGTGTAGCCACTGAGGAAAGTACAGAGCCTCTAAGTGAGGATGATTTTGATATGTTCTATGAAATCTGGGAGAAGTTTGACCCTGAAGCCACTCAGTTTATTGAGTATTCTGCACTTTCAGACTTTGCAGATGCACTGTCGGAACCTTTGCGCATAGCGAAACCAAACAAAATCAAACTCATAGCAATGGACCTCCCCATGGTCAGTGGAGACAGGATCCATTGCTTGGATATTTTGTTTGCTTTTACAAAAAGGGTGCTAGGAGAATCTGGAGAAATGGATGCCCTTAAAATACAAATGGAAGAAAAGTTCATGGCGGCGAATCCGTCTAAGATCTCTTACGAACCAATAACAACAACTCTCAGACGGAAACAAGAAGAGGTCTCTGCCATTGTCATCCAGCGGGCCTACAGGAGACACTTGTTTCGGCGCTCCATGAAGCAGGCGTCTTACTTGTACCGGCACAGAACTTTTGACGGCAGCATCCTTGAGGACGATGCACCCGAGAAGGAGGGTCTCATTGCATTCATGATGAATGAAAACTACGGCAGGCCAATAGACAAATCAGAAACGCTGTCCTCCACGTCCTTCCCTCCATCCTACGACAGCGTCACCAGAGGGACAAGTGAAAATCTCCAGCTGAAGCTGACAGACTCGAGCAAAAGCGACGAGGCTATAGATTGTCTGCTCTCGCCGGACAGGGATAAAGAATCAATTGTTTAAATGTTTGTTTAGAATGCTTTAAAATATTGTTTACAGAATGTAATGCTGTAACTACACCACGATTGAAGCAGCCTTCTTATTAAACATTAGTTGCAAAAGAAAGAATGGAGTTTTTACCCTTAACTACAGGAGTCTAATAAGTCATATAACCTTTGACCCTGCTCTTTTTGACTTGGCTCAATATTTATATTTATATATGCACAGGAAGAATCTTGGCAGGGTCATAGCTGTTATATCAATGGTGTGAATACAAATATGCTAAACTGTAAAACAGTAAACACAATGTATATCTATCCACAGATAAAGCCTGGCTGTATACATTCATTTAAGGTCTTACTCATAATAGTGTGTTTACTTATGGCAATGTATGACCTTGCATTCTAAAAAGATAAAAAAAAATATATCACAGCTGCTGTAGCAAAATGTAACACTTACTGTATATGTTGTGAATGGTCTTTCATAAATTTATTATATTTGATATTTTTTTACTTAAAAAAAAAGTCTCTTTTTCCATGGAGATTAATGATCCTTACACTCTTCATGATGAACTCTGAGTCAAGGTAATAGGAACTTGTGGGATCCCCATCGTTTGAAGAGGAAAGTTGTTGCAAAACTATCAAATTAGCGACAATTTAACTGTTTATTACACTAAGCCCTTCCCTTTGGGACTTGCAACTGCTCATCAGCAAGAATAGAAAACAAACAAAAACAAACAAACAAAAACAACAACAGAGAAGGAATTGATGTCAAAATAATAGGAGAAATGGCTTGTTCTATCCTTCAGGAAACTAGACAGTAATGGATTCTGTTTGTAAAACTGTTAATAAAAGCACTAATTTTTTAGTATGTTTCAAGAATCTGCTTTGAATACTGCAATCAAACTCACCATAGAAGTAGTGCATCACATTGTGTGTAGTGCTCCAAGGCACCATCTATGCCGGCAAAATTTCTGTTAAGGGCGTGGGATAGGTTACATTTTCCCAAGAACACTGAGCTAAGCAGCCTTATTGGAAACTCTGAGCATCGATATTACTCCAAAAAATAGTACTATTAATAATAACAACATCAATTGGGTCATGAGGAACAGCTGCAACGGTGTGATCAAGAAGGTGGGAGGGGAATTGCCCCTGGATCTGTATGTAACTTCTGATGTTTAGAAACCTGTCTTCTCAGTGTCCATCCTTCATTTTATCAGACAGTACAGTTAGAGTACTGGGGAAGGACAAGAAATAGCGGAACCAATAATAACAATCTGCTAAAAAATAAAAATATCCTCATTCCTGCACGCAAAGGAATATTTACAGCTGATGTATCCATCAGCTTCAGGCCAAAGAAATGACAACAGAGTGGAAGGTGGATGTGTGGCTGTAGAAAGTATTAGAGGTTTTACGTGCGTACATAGATTATTATTTATTATTAAACTTTCAGCCTTGATAGAATGTGAGAAAGTATTTATGGAACGTAGAGAGAAATCTGTCATTGCAGATGAGTTCTTTCTTTTTCACCTTCAGACTGATTGTACTTGGGTTTGGTTGGACTTCATGAAAAATCTTGAGATTTCTGTAATGAGCCATTGCACTTTAAGGAAGAGTAACTGTGCTTTTCGCCTTGGAGAAGCAAAGATACCAAGAATGTATTTAAGGTGTATTGTGATTGACATTTAGTTACATCCCAGGTTGTAAAGGTGTCAAAATCCACATGGGGTTGGTTGGCAACAAGAATTAAAGCAACATGTTACAGTGAAGTCTGTCTATGGCCATTGTTATCTGTCCTCTAAACAAGACAAAAAATGTAAAGACAACATGTCAAAAGGATGACTATGTATCTGTGTAAATATGGGCTAATATATTCTCTCCATTCATTGAGAGGTGTCTCAGGCATTCACTTGAGAGTGGTCTATTGGTTAATTCAGAGGATTTACCATCAGGATTCCTGGGGTCTATTCCTGATTCTTACTACATGATTTTTAGGCAAATAATTGAACCTATCTGTGCCTCAGTTTACCCATCTGTAAAATGGGGATAATAATACTTACCTACCTCACAGGGGTGTTGTAAGACTTTCTGGTTGCAAAGTGCTGTAAGGGAGTGAAATGTACTATATAAGTATTATTATAATCATGCTCTCTTGCCCTTTTAACCCCATGTCTATGGTGTATAACATAGGGCTGTTCCTCTGGAGATTTTGTTGCCTTTAAATCTTGTATGTAATTAGATTCTAACTTAAGGGAACTACTCTTTGTTCCTTAAAGTGAAAACACTCTTTATTCTTTCCTCCCTCCTCACTACCCTCCCCCCAGTCCCCACCCCCATTTCCCAAAAAAGAAAATTGCTCAAGGCTTCTCAAATTAGAGAAACTTTATACAGATTCCCTGTGTATTTATGCTGTAATCTTATTCTGACTGTACATATCACCCAGAAAGAGTATGCGATTTTTATATTTATATGCATATATATATATACACACATACCTATACCTATACATATATAAGTATCTTGTGAGTTTGTAGAGTGGCTGACACTCAGAGGACACAACTTACTGATTAAAATGTTTTGTTCTCAATGGGATTTATTGATCGTTAGAAACGAGCTGCTGCCTATAATGAAACTGTTTAATTAGGAAATAGTAGTGAATTACGTGCTGAACAAGCATTTATTGGCTGATGACTGGTAAAATTATTTTCCTTTTAAAGCTTCGGAATAAAAAAAAAAAAAAAAAAAGAAAAATACTTAGAAAAAGGAGCATTTCTTATCTGATTTTTATCATACAATATAAAGTGTTCAAAACCAAAAAAATAGTAAATAAATATATATATATAAAACAACCTTCACACAGCTGTGCTGTGTTGATCACTCTGTTTTACAAATATTTTAATTATTTGCCACTTACATTAGAACTTGCCTTCTTAATATATTCAACGGATATTCTTAATAAGTGTGAGGCCAATGATGAATAGGATGTAAGGGGAAGATTAGCTGGTCAATGATTATATTAGAGAAGAGCTCTTTCTGTGGTCATTTCACCCTTGCATTAAAGATTTTATTGTCCTTGCTGTGAGATCCTGTAGTACTAATGCAATACAACTGATTGTGTTTTCTACCCAAAACCTGTTAAAAAAAGTGTTATTTCAAAAAAAAAATCTAAAAGAGGATCTTAACTATAGATGTTTACAGTGCAACTATCTAAAAAATAATTGTAAATTACTTTCAAAGGCTTTGTAATTGGAAGGTTGGTTTTCCATTGGGTTTTCAATTTTGTTGAACATTTCTTTAGATCCAAAGAAAGTATGGTATCTTTGTATGGTATGCAGAAGTCCCCTCAAAAACTTCAGCTATCCTCAGTTGCAGATCTTTATTAATGGAGATGCTGATCCAAATCCAGGAATGATATGACCTCCCAGTGCAGTAGTGATTTAGTTAAAGATACTGACTCAATAGTTGGCCCACACTGTCTATAAGCATGGTGAGTGCTACCATTTTTATTGTTGATTTGTTCAATAAAGTCTACTACGTGAATCACTCAAGCTACAAAAAAAAAAAAAAAAAAAAAAAAAAAAAGCAAGGAAAATATCAGCCAATATCATAGGACATATTAAGCTGTTTGTACCTGGAAAAAAAAATCAAGTTTATTATGTTTCTTTATTAAATAAATAAGGATAACAAATATTTCCTGTGCCAATTATTTTTTTGTTATTTTACCAACATTTATGTGATTTCTCTGGCTTTGTTCAGCACCTTTTTTGGTGACTTTTATTAGAAGGCCAGTCAATGAAATCCCCTCCAGTTCATCTTGCATTGTAAGGCTAACTACTGGGCATTAAAGGCTTGAGTCAAAGCTTGTTGAAATTGATGGAGAATTTCTGGGTACTTCAGCCGGATTTGAAGCAGACTCAAAAGCTTTTCTTCAAAGAGAGTAATTTATAGGATGAGCCTTGCATTGTTATTTCAACCCATCTTGCCTGGTAGAATTAGTTGGAGGAGTAGGAGTTTTACTGAAAATATGAGATCCCACTAAGAGAACAGAAAAAAAAATAATATATTTTCTTACACTTTCAAGTGTAATTATACAGATTTGCCTTTTGGTTTTTATTTTTTTTTTTAGTTGTATGCTAAAATCCTCACTAAACAATCATCCATGCCATAATCCTGGAAGGAGATGGATGACCACACTTGGAGCTCTTCCCTTAACTCTTCTTGGCATTGATTGAATCAGCCTTATCTCCACATAGGCTTCCACCAATTTAGTTACTCTTTTTCAGTGCTCTGATTTCTATTTAAACAGGGAAAGGTTTCTAATCACATTAAAACAGAAGAAAACTGAGACAGTTTAAACTACAGTGAACAATTCCAATCAGTCTTTTGAATTAGTTTAAAAAAAAAAAAAACAGTTTATTATTATCACTTTTACATTAACCTGGGGCAGTCTGACTTTTTTCTGACTTTTTTTTTTTTTTAATATTTAATTAGCATTTACTAGTATGTGTCATGTAATCATATGACTTCTGAGTAATCGTGTATACGGAATAAATCTGGCTGAAAATTTTTCAGCAATGTATTTTTGATTTGAAAGAACCATTTATTTAAATAAAAAATTCTCTACAGAGATGTGTCAGGTTAAATAAGGATGTTCTTTGTTAGAATTTGTCAGCAAAATTCCCATGGGAAGGAAATTTAGTCATAATCCCTACTGTGAAGATTTCAGTGCCTACGTTTTTACCAGAATTGCCTAGCTCCTATGTGTGTGCTACCATCACCGTGCTGGGGCTGTTTTGGGTTATGGGCCTCTCCTCCTTTTCATGCAGAACTTGAAGAAATTTCTAAAAGGTTTAGATATTTCCCATTTCAGGATGAAATTTCATAAAAATATTGACTATTTTTTTCAAAAGGATTTGTTTTTTTCCAGCCCTAGCAGGGAACCAAGAGGACTGGCTCCTCAATCCCCAGATTCACCTTGTGATTTTGCAGTGGTTTCAGTTCCTCTCTACTTCTGATGCAGATCAGCTCGTAAGTACCAGGATCGTTTTGGATATAAGTCTATGTTTGCATAGACAACAAGAGCAGTGCAAGCAAACTCAGGCAATTTATATATATATATACACATATTAGCACCTTGCTTTAGGTTTAGACATAGTTTTTGTAGTAATCAAAAGCTGCTGTATGAAGAGCAGAAGTAAAAAGAAATGTGGTGCACTGAGAAGCTTGTGCTGGGTTCTGGTATTAAAGGACACCCATGTGGGATGACAGCAAGTGTTGTGTTTCTGACAACAGAGATGAATCTTTCTCCTATTTGCTGGGGTGCTGAGACAAGAACAGAAGTGGGTTTAACACAAGAGAAAAAAAGACAGCAGCATGGTCAAAAAAAAAAAATGAGGAAGAAAGAAAGAAAGAAGAAGAAAGAAAGAAAGAAAGAAAGAAAGAAAGAAGAAAGAAAGAAAGAAAGAAAGAAAGAAAGAAAGAAAGAAGAAAGAAAGAAAGAAGGAAAGAAGAAAGAAAGAAGAAAGAAGAAAGAAAGAAAGAAAGAAAGAAAGGAAAGAAAAAATCACACAAAACTGTAAATGAATAGGGTTGCTTCTGCATGTCAGTTCTGCCAGCTAGCTGTGAAAGATGGGTCTCGCTGGGTGAAGAACAAACATGGAAATCCTTCTGAGTGTTTACATATTGCAAAGAAATAGCACCCGTGTCAAAGGGAAAGCATGTGAAAGCAAATAGGCCAAGGGGAATAGCTATTGGCAGCAAGCAAAAAAATGCTTCAGAGTCAAACGTCACCGATAACCCCGTGAGGGCTGGAGGTGTTGGACCGCAGCGTGGGCCCTGGTTTTGTCAGCACCTCCACACGAGCTATTTTAGCAAGCTGACAAGCCTCTGAGCGGCTCCTGGGCTGTGTGCTCGTGCCACGGCAAAGTTTTGGAGACAGCTTCCAGGGTTAGATCCCTGCGGTCACCCTGTTTGCTGGTGGGCTGTCAGACAGTGCAAGCCTGTGGCCTTAGGGGGGCTTTGTGCCCTGGAAATTAGCTGTACTGAGTGCTGGCACGGTGCAGCCTGGAGAGGAGGAGGCTCAGTGAGGCTTTATCGACATCTGTAAACACCTGAAGGGAGGGTGTAACAGGGCCAGAGCCCGTCTCCTTTCAGTGGTGCCCAGTGCCAGGACAGGAGTCCATGGGCCCAGCCTGGAGCCCAGGAGGTTCCCCTGACCCCCAGGCAGCCCAGAGGCTGTGGGGTCTCCTCCTTGGAGAGCTCCAAAAGCCGCCTGGCCATGGGCCTGGGCACCCTGCTCTGGGTGGCCCTGCTGGGGCAGGGGCTAGGCCTGAGGGACCCCGAGGTGCTGCCAGCCTCACCAGGCTGCGATTCTGTGCTCATGTTTTCAAGATTTTATTTTCTTTAATAACTATATTAGAAACAAACAAAAACACCCACACCCACACAAAGAGGCTTTAACACAAAAGCAGCAAAGACTGAGGAAGTTATGATAAAATCATGCAATGTGGCCCTGCAAAGAGTTAAAATCCTTTCCCCTGCCAAAAGGTGACTTGAAGTGCATACCTGTGTTTTAAAAAGTCTGTGTTTTCTGTGAAATCCCGGTCATCCTAAAGCCTAGGGGAATTTAGCACTTGCCCTTAGGGCAGCCAGGTTTCCAACCTTTTTTTTTTTTTTTTTTTTTTCAAACAGACTGTCCCAGTTGTTCACATTAGTCTTAATTTTTAATCTCCTCAAACCTGCAGACCAAGCATAAAGCAAATAATTTTCATTTTTAGCTCAGGGACAAGCTGTGCAAGTGAGGAAGATTCACACAGAGGACATAAACCTGGAGCCTTGGGTCCCAATGTGACATCGGGCAATCCAGCCCTTGGTGGACTTGGTCACATCGTGGATTGCATCTTTATTGTATCCAAATGAATTTTTATGTATTTATTTATTTATTTTAGGACCACGTAGGTCATACTAGAAGGAAACTGTGGGCATGGCTTGTCTTGGCAATGTCCGAGGAGGAGAGGAGTCTCAAAGATAAGTGAATTTCTACAAGTTTTGTGAAAATAAGCAGCCAGGGAGATATCCACTGTGGTGTTAGGGAAAGTTGTGAGGAGTTCAGGTCTCAAGGCAAGACAAAACATTTTAATAGAGATGACAAATCTTACAATTACCTTAACTGAAGGGGGAATAATTAATTTGCACTTGCTTAACCACCAGGAACCATCAACTCCATGGTGAGAAGCATGGGAAATCAGACGTTGTCAGTTCTGGTGCTTCAAGATTTTTTTAGATTGCCTTTACTGTGTAGTGGGAAGATGTTCAGGGCAGAACCTACTGTACATTTTGATGAGGAGATGGCAGGATACATCTTAGGGGTAAGATCAGCCTGTGTGCCTCTCCATTGCTACACTTCTGTGAAGGGAATTTTCTCATCAAATACTTGAGGAACTGAGAAAGCATGAGAAAGGTTTAGAGGTGGGAGTACACAGATGCTTTGATTTGCTTTTTTTGAGCAGCTATTGAGCAGTGGATAGGTGAGTGTAAACCAAGAGGTATCTCAGCAGTGATGACACTGGGACAAATCCCTTCGAATAGGAGATGCTCAACTCAATACTCAGCAGTGATGTAGCTCAGGGTTGTGCACAATGCCACAATGAACACCTCCCTGTGTGTGCAGCACAGATAACTGCTTATCTGCACAACTGGTGCTCCCGTATTCATTCATCCCCTAAGAAATGTTGCAGGCTTTAGCTGGGCAGGCTCTCCAGCCCCAGGGCTTCACTGCCCAGAAGGCTGCCCTGACTGTCCCCACCTGGCACCCCTGTGTCCAGGCAGCAGGGAGGCACAGAGGGCAGTGGTCTGGATGTGCTCCTGCAATTGGATTCACCTCCCAGAAAGTGTAGCACAGCCCTGAGATACAGTAGGTTGAAAGAGAAAGGTGAGGCAGACGAAAATATGGGCAAAGACGATAAGATCCACTTTAATTATTTGAATTCTAAAAGTCAAGGTTGAGTTTGGGACTTGGATTCAAGTCCTCTTCCTGCTCATTATCAGAGGAAAACCCCTCTGAAACCCTGTAATATTCAGCCAAAAGTGCTGCTGCCCTTATCCACAATTTTAAGCCACATGGTTTCTCTCCTTTCCAAAGAACACGGCACAATGAAAAGATGGATGTTGGTATAGGATAAGAAAGAAAAAATGTGATTTTTATATATATATTTTTTTAAAGCTTAAATTTGTTGCTGTTGAAACCATAGTGAAACTTCTTTATCCAGGAGTGTGTGCCTGCCAAAAATGCAGCTCCTTGCAATAGTATTGGCAATAGAGCAGGGCTAAATGAATGATCCAACTCTACTGAGAAGAGAATGGAGGCCAGCAGAGAAATCACCTAACTCCTCTCAGATTGAGGCTTACTAGACTTGAGGAAGGACTTCTTCATTTTGCTGCAAGCTTTTAGTGGTTGACCAGAAAGGTGAAACTGGGCTTCAGACCCTGTTGCAAGCCTTAGTGCATCTGAAGATAAATTGTCCCCTGAAAAAACAGGCACACATGGTGCAAGAAGAAGCCAAACGGGTGTTCAGGAGTCAGGTGTGACCATTGAGGATAAAGCCCCAATCTGTCACCTACCATTCACCCGTGCTCTTGCCCACCAACAGGAGGACGTCCTGAATTTCACATGTGGTGTGCATGTGCTGGGAACCATAAGCCACAACGCTTGCAGAGCTTATTTTTGGGTAGGGTCTCAAGGACTTAACAGCTTCAGGGGCCAGAGCGTGAACCTGCTACCCAGCAGCTGTGATCTCCTCACACCTCAGCCTCTGTGGGAAGATCAGCCTGAAGATTAGTCAGCCTTCACATTCTTGGAGTGTTTGGCATAGAAACACTCCTGGGCATTGACAAGGGGAAGGTGAAGGGCTACCCAGTCTCCAGAAGGCAGTAAATATGGCCCCTGTCCAAATCTAACAGGGGTAGTAGAGCTTTATAAAGTTATACGTGACACGGGGCATGGGGGATGACTCTGGTTTACACCTCTGAAGTCAGTTCAGTGTCACAATGCAGACTGGGAATTCGCAACAAAAGGGTACTTGCAGCAAAACCGTATTATCACCTCCATGAAATCAACCTGGGTGCATCCTCCTTAGGGCTTTGTCTTACAGGAAACTCCAAATAAAATTAGTGAGGGATCTCCAGAGGGAAAAAAAAAAAAAAAAAAAAGAGATTGAGAGAGAGAGAGATTAGAACTTGATCTTGTAGGAATCTTTTTATCTGGTGATGTTTATAATTAGTGATCTGAGTTTTTGTAATCCTCTCCCTTCCTGGTGTAGGTAGCTGATGGTTGCAAGTATGACAGTTCTGGTCTCAGAGTTGTGTCCAAACCCCTGAAGCCTGAAGCTTAAGGTCCTTACCCAGCTCTAATTTGAGAGCTTTGACTCTCACACCAGCTGACTGCAAGGATTAGATGCATGTAAATACCTTCATAGCGACTAGCAAAACATACTCGTGATGTTATCCTAAATTGGGATGCTCTCTTTCCAGGGGTGTCAGTTTGATGTTATCGCCTACTCAGCAAATAATTCCCTTTATCGAAGAAGGAAGACTTCCAGTGATGCCCACTCACAACCAGCTTCTTTATCCTCTAAGTCTGCTTTCCGCTGTGCTTTGCCATAATTAAAGTTGACTTTCTAAATGCCATGGTGCAAAGATGCAGTTACTAATGCTTCGATATCATCTCTATTTCAGCTCAGCCTGCTGTGAGTCACTCTGATGTTTGCACCTTGCTGCTCCGTTGTATTGGTCTTTGAAAGAGTGAGGAGGAGAGCTCCCACTGCAAACACTCATCTCCCTCCCAAGATAATGGGGTCAGACAGGTCTGCCTGCAGGACACAGATTTTCTTAAGGGTGTTGTGTCACTGAGAAGAGCTGTGAGAAGGTGGGCTCTTTAATACGACTCCAACGTTCCTTCACTTACAGCACTTGCTAAAGCACTCTGCCCAAGGCAATGCCTCACACCCAGCATGAAACAGGCTTTGCTCCCCTACCCCTCCAAAACTGCTTGAGACTCTGTACACTGTCTCCAAATGCAGTTTTCTGCTTATTTCCCCATTTGTAGGGATATAAGTTACTCCTGAAAAACCTCATTAATTTCTGATTATTATATTTTACTTTGGGTGTAGAAATTAGGTGAGCGCAATAAAGATGTACTGTTAACCTCAGACCTCAGTAGCTTTGGAGCAGTGAGCCAGGCAGGTTTTTACTTGCATGGACCACTTCTTGCACTGTATTTCCAGCTCATACAGTTTATCTCCATGCTGGTAACAAAGAAGAAACGTAGCTGGTTCTATTGCTTAGAGGCTACATAGCGTGGCAGGATTAAACTCTGATCCCTCTGAACAGGGTCTCACCTTCCAACCTGCCTAGAACAGCTGGAACAGTCCTTGGCCAGACTGAACCCTGAATAACATGTTTGGGAGTTGCAAATTTACCAGATCAGAAGCGTCAGGGCTGGCTGCTAGACCAGCCTCTAGCAAAGCTTCGAGACCTCCCAAGAAGGAAAACAGCTTCTGGGAAGAGAAAAATTAAGAAGACAAACAGCTGATAATGGGAAAGAATCAATGAGAAAAGGGAAGAGATATGAGGAGATAGGGGGATTAAATGTGAGTGGCAAGGGATAATCTGGGGAAACCCCCAAGCAGAGCTGCTTCCACTACCAGAAAGTGCCCAAGGAGCAAGATGACAGCTTTGGGATCCAGATGATGGTGTGTCCCCACTGAGGTCTATGCCTACCCATGTCTTGTTTAATGGTATGGGAATAATCATATCAACAAAAGGCTTACCTGCCAGGGGAGTAACCCAGGGAGATCCCCAGCCAGGCTGCTCCTCTGTTTGGTCCCGATGAAACACCTCTCTGACCTGCCGAGTCACCAAGAAGTGTGATATATTCTAGTTTGAGAGTTTTCCCTGCAAGCTCCTAGGAACTGTGGGCTTTGAAGAACAGATGTCTGATGTTTTTTTCACAAGGCTGACCAATCTCATCACCTTGTAAAAAATAAAAACCCAAAAGCAAGTCTGCGTATGTGTATGTGGAAATACACAGCTGCAAAAGGATTTTCTGAGAGAGATTCACTAAGAGAGGACTCTACTTCTCCATTCTGAGCTCCTGAAGACATTTGTCAGAGCCAAAGCAAGCTCTTCATTTTTAGAGGATGGAGAAGGAAGGCTATTTTATCCTCTGAAAAAGAGTGCAACATTAATGAAGCCAAAACCACAAAAGGGCTCAGTTACACTTACATTACAAGCTCGCCACAAAATCTAATGTTGGTGGAGTTCGAATGTCTGCTGGCTCGCAAGAAGATGACCACAAGGAATGCAAAGCACGGTCTGGGCACTGCTGTCCCCACTCCTGGGGAGACAACCTGCTGGGCTGGAGACTGCCCCAGGCAGCTGGCAGCCTATGATATGAGTGTGGTTTGCAGTCCTCTTTGCTTCCTGCTTGCTAAATCTCTTCCTGTTTGTTTGCAGGGGGTCACAGAGGGAGACAGGAGGCTCCCTGTGGTGGAGACAACTCATCTCACCAGCGATGGCAATGTTGTCACAGGACCCAAGGCCGGAGTGAGACAAATGCATCTGACTCAGCAGTAAATTCGCTTTCCTCCTCCCCCCACACGCAGCATGACTACTGCTGATCCATAAAGGATGCTCTGGGCATCTCTCGTAACAGCAGCTGTCCCTCTCTTCAGAGCACAGAGGCATCTAAGAAATCTTGGTATGCCTCCTGCCACACTCAGCAGGAAAACTCAAACCACACTGCAGGCTAGAAGTGATCTTGCAGCAGGGCCAAAAGGTTCAAGACCCAGCCGTCCTTGTCATAGCACATTAAAAATGGGTAATCATTCAGCCGTGCACAGGCAAAGGCTTTTATGTAGAGCAAATGTAATCTTCTGCCACAAATCACCGTGAGAAAGTGTGGGCAAGCTCCAGGAGCTAGCTTTCTGCTGACGCTTGGACTTTGTACAGATTGCACGCTCGGCAAGACCCAGGTCTCTGGGAGGGGAAAATAAGTCAAGGATTCCCCCCTTTCTTTGACAGATGCCTTCTGAGGAGCAGACAACTGATGCCCCCTAGCCACGGGGTGGATGCATTCTGTTCTGTGTCGCTCATGGATGTTAGCAGCCATGCTGATGTGCTCTCTGGAAATGCTGCTGCTCCTCTCCTCTTTCCCTCCCCCAGGTCTCTGCGTGGAGGTAATCAGCTCATCGCTGCTTAGTCGTGAGCTCTGCCAGGACTTTCCCTGACTTTCAGTGGGGGAAATGCAGCCAGAAGATGTTTTTATTTCACTAGCCAAGCAAAGTCCCAAATTCAAACATTTTGATCAACATAACGTTAAACATTTTGACTGAATCAAAACTATATGTATATTTATTAGGGATAGGTTTGGCTGCAAACATCACACAGAAATATCATGCTTAAATATTAACTCTGCCAGTTTTCTCTCTGAATACACTGTTTCCTTATCTGCTTTCTGTTTCACTAAGGTTCAGCCTAAGAGCCTCTCCATCCTTGGTCAGACTTGGACATCCAGTTGGTGTAAGATGCCCCTGGCCCCACCCTCAGTGTTACAGATCAAAAAATTTCATTTTTCTCTAGCACCACTCCGGCCTGAAGATGTGCCATATCCTGGAGGTGAAATCTCCCTTACCCATCAGAGTGTTTGTAGCACCTGAGAGCATCCCTACGTGGCTGACTGTGGCTGTGAGCTGCTGCAGCATGGCACTGTGCTGGTGTGGCTGCCCCAGCTCTGCCCAGAGCCAGAGCCCACTCCTCTGCTAGGCTCCGTACGTCAAACCCAGCCCTGGCCATGAAAAAAAAACTTTTTTTTGCCCTAGGTGGCTGATGCTGTAAAGAATCAAGATCATTCAGTAGCTCTTCAAATGACTGAAAATATTTCTATGTGCTGTTAACAACTTATCTATGTCCAAACACAAGCAAAAATGAAAAAGGGGATAAGAAGTACCCTGTTGAGAAGCAGCAATGTAATTTGTTATCTGGAGTATGTTTTGCTCAGCATTTTTTGCTCAACATTTGCTGTCCTCTCTATCATCTTTGCTTTCCCCAGAGTAGCCCAAGCGAATGACCACAGCCCTAGAGGATTTAGGTGGAAGTGGCCACAGTTATAATCTCCTCCACAGTTTCCTTCCAAATATACAGTGACATATTGCCTCTCTGCATATTGTTTTGGCTGTGGGACTGTCAGAGCCTGTGCGATCAGGACTTGTTGTCCCTTTACTTGTTTTCTGAACAAAGCAGGAGAGCTGCCGTGGGGTGCCCGGTGCCAACATCACCATGTGTACCCAAACCCATGGAGGACCAAGTACAATTCTGCTACGGTTAGGTTCATGAAAAGGATATCTGCTCTTCCCCCTGTGGTTCAACACTTCTAATATTCTTCCATAAGTAACCGACTGAACCTTTTATAGCTGAATTCAGCTACCAGCATTGCTCTGAAACAGTAAATCCATGACTTTTCAGTCTTGTGCTTCCCATGAACAAACCAACCCAGGGATAAAGGGCTCCCTCTTGCTTTAAAAACATAAACCCTCGCTCTGCCCATGTGTTTCTGATGGGCTAGAAAACATTCCCATTGCAACAGCCATCGCTGAAATGTGGTCACTTCTGGGAAGAGAAGCAGCTGCTGTTCACTGAGGGAAGGGAGGCTTTGTGGTTTGGGCAGTGGTGGGAGCTCAGGATTTTTTTCTGGTAACACCACCGCTGGGAGCCGCAGCATCATGTAGACATGCCTTGGCAGGATGGACTTTGCACAGCTCAGGTGCTGGTGGCAATGTAACCACAGACATGAGCACAGAGCCCTCGATAAACTGATTTATCATCTTTCTTGGGTAAATGATGCAGCCTATGCTGACCTCTGTGCTGTTTTAGCTAGACTGCTGCCAGCCAGCAGGCTTAAAGCAAGCTCAGGTATCACTGGGCTGTAGCCTGAGAAGATCCTGAAGTGCAACCAAAGGGTTACGTTGTGGGTTAACCCCTTGAGGTACCTGTCTGCTTTACCTGCCTTCTGCCAAATGGATGGATGGAGGGTTTGTGCACAGAGGGGCGTAACAGAAGGAAAACGATTAACTAAAGCTGCTTAATTAGAAGTTAATACCTGTTAAGGCACCCACAAGATTTTCAGACACACACAAACCCCCTTTGTTGTTTATTTTTCATCAGAAATATCCCTTTTCTGTGGGGATTTAGGAAGTGAGTTGGGAGTTCCCCCAAATGCTCTGTATTAACAGGCATGATGTTTCATGGTGTAAGCCGCAGATGCAGGCAGACATAGCAAAAAAAAATGTTTTGCTAGACAGTAGAAAACAGAAGAGGTAAAGCTGGAAAATGTCAAAATGAAGATGAGCACAAGGTGTCCAGCTGATTTCTTTTCTTTACTATATATATATATATATATAGTAAATATAGTATATATAGTATATATATATATTATATATATAATTGTATATATATATATATAGTTTATATTATATATATATATATTATACATAATAAATATTATATAATATATATAATATATGATATATAATATAATGATATAATACAATAATATATAATGTATAATATATATAATGATATAGTTTATATTTGCATAAATATATATATATAGTAAATTATATATAAATTATATATTTATTTACTATATATATATTCTTATTTCATATAATTTTTTGGTTCCAGGAAGGAAAGGATCCAGCTGGATCCTATCTCCAGTATGGCTTTTTCTTCTGTAAAGGTAGTAAAAGGCCACCAGAGGTGGCCACAGATGTCAAAACAGACAATGTTGGATGAGTTTTATTTGGTAACCAAGCCGGATAAGTTTTGCAATGGGATCCAGATGCAAAACAACCTTTAAGCACCAGCAAGGCGTGGGTTGAATCCGCGGAAGCAGCGCTTCCCCATCCATCACTTAATACAAAGCAGCCATCCAGGGTTTTGGAAGGATGTGCTGGGAGGCAGCTGGCTGCAGCGCTGTGTCTGTCAAACCACAGGACATCTGGGGACATTGAGGATCGGTATCGACAACATAGAAAGTCAAGGACTGGGACTGGAGCAAGACTGTAGTGAGTGGCAGCTCAGGATTTTGGTTCTCTTTTCCTCCCGTCTCCTACCTGCCTTCCGCAGAAGCTGGTGCCACCGAAGTGTCACAGCACAGCCCCGCGGCCAGGCTGCCGTGCCATGCCTGGGCAGGACCAACACATGAGACTGCCTGAAGCAGAGTCAAAGCAGATTTGGGATTGTTAAGATAGCCTTTTGATACCGAAGTGCTAAACCCTGTCTCGGGGCTGTACCCAGCTCCCCGCGATAAAGGCCCGTTCCATTTTCGTGGTGGCACTGCACGGCGCATGCCACAAGGCCAAGTCACGGCGCTGAAAAAGGTAATGAGACACTCGATACGCCAAACATGTGGTGAATCACAAAGGAGCAGGAAGAAATATTCGATCAGATATTCAACCACATGAACACACTAACCAGCCCGGACGCAGTATATCATCTTCCTCCGAACAACAGCCCCGTGCCTGACAACTGTTACAGTCCATCAGTTATAAACCTCCAGCACACCTCCAGGAGAGTATTTTTTGCTGATATTTTTCTTCATCTGCTTTTTATTTATTTTTTTTTTGGAGGGGTGAAGGCTGCCCAAGAGCAACGGTCCCGAGATCCTGAGCCAGCTCCGGGTGCGGGTGCCCTGGGATGCGGCGGCGCAGGGCAGGGGCTGCTGAGTCTGCTGCCATCCCCCGCCTGGCAGGGCAGGCTGCATTTGTCAGAAAGCTTCCATTAGTTGTGCATTCCAGCTATAATCTCCCGGCCCGAACACGGCAGCATCTGCTTCAGAGCCGGTATTATATAACCACAATTGGCCTGCACAGAGCCCTGTTAAAACCCTGGGCAGGAGAGAGCCATTGATTCCACTGCACGAGAAGCAGAGCGGAGCTGTTCTTTAATAAGAGCCTTTCTGTGACTATACCGACTTCCCTTCCCTTCCCTTCCCTTCCCTTCCTTCCCTTCCCTTCCCTTCCCTTCCTTCCCTTCCCTTCCCTTCCCTTCCCTTCCCTTCCCTTCCCTTCCCTTCCCTTCCCTTCCCTTCCCTTCCCTTCCCTTCCCTTCCCTTCCTTCCCTTCCCTTCCCTTCCCTTCCCTTCCCTTCCCTTCCCTTCCCATTTCCCTTCCCATTTCCCTTCCCTTTCCTTCCCTTCCCTTCCCATTTCCTTCCCTTCCCTTCCCATTTCCTCTCCTCTCCTCTCCTCTCCTCTCCTCTCCTCTCCTCTCCTCTCCTCTCCTCTCCTCTCCTCTCCTCTCCTCTCCTCTCCTCTCCTCTCCTCTCCTCTCCTCTCCTCTCCTCTCCTCTCCTCTCCTCTCCTCTCCTCTCCTCTCCTCCTCATCTTTCTCATCCTTCTCCTCCTCCTCCTTCT